GTGTCAGGAGCAGCTGGTGGAGTCCCGGGGAGGCCATGTCACGCCTGGGGAATCTCTGAAACTCTTCTGCAAAGCCTCTGGATTCACCATCAGTAGCAGCTACTGGATGTGCTGGGTCCGCCAGGCTCCAGGGAAGGGGCTGGAGTGGATCGGATGCATTTATACTGGTGATCGTAGCACATACTACGCGGGCTGGGTGAATGGCCGATTCTCCATCTCCAGAGAGAAAACCCAGAACACGGTGTCTCTGCAAATGAACAGTCTGAGAGCTGCGACACGACCCTGTATTACTGTGCAAGACAGCTGAGCCTAGACAGAAACCTCCCTGCAGGGGCGCGCGTCTCCACCAGGGGGCGCACAAGACTCACTGAGCGCAGATTCTGGTCATGCACAGGTGCAGAGTGGGATGAAGCCCTGGTTTCCTGTTAGGGAATTGGGGTTTCCTCTCCTGCAACAGTTTTGAGGGAAGAATTCTTCTTTTATGATTCTGACCCTGCTACTGATTCTCTGACGTGGAGAAGTTTGATGTGACAGGAGAAGTCCTATATGAACGAATCCAGGCTCAGCGGTCTCCAGGATCACCAGGATCAGAGATGTGGGACAATCTGGGGACATCGTGAGTGTTGTCCAGTCTGACAGGACAACTCTCTCAGGGCACTGCCAACTTTAGGGAAATTTTACATTTCCCTTTCTATCCAGCGATAGCTGAGCCAGGGTTTGGGTTTAAAAATCGGCTATTTAATATCTCTCACCTGTCAAAACGAGCGAGTGTGCTGAACTGAACCAACCTTTCATTTTACACTGTGGGTGATCAACACTCACTTTCCACAGACTTTATTCACAATCTCCATTTACCATTTAATCCTAACACAGTCTGTGGTCCTTGTGTGAACGTCACAGCACTCAGGAATGTACTGCAGCTCAGCTGTGTCTCAGGCTGAGCTTCTGCATGCACCTGGGAAGCCTACAGGGACTTCCTCATCCTCTAGATCCTGGGACCCTCCTGGGGGCTCCCTGCCTGAATTCAGGAGGGAAATGCACTGGACATCAGCAGTCAAGGTCATTACTGAATGGAAAGTGTTGGGTGTGCACTTCCAGCTGATCTGGTTCTGTCGCGTGTTGTGGGACCCCCTGCACCTGCTGTGGTTCAGGGAGATCAGAAAGTGGGACACACAGTGGCTGTGCACTCTGGAGCTGGAGTCCACATCACGGGGAGCTGTGTCTGTGGCTCCAGCATGATGACCAGTGTCCTGAGGCTGAATCACAGCTGCAGGAAGAGCCAGTCTCGGAGACCATGTATCCAGAGTCCCTACTCTTCACTCCATGTCTATGCTGGCTGGAATCATCAATCCATTTGGAATCCTTCATCAGTTTTAGAGAGGGAGACACCCAGGCTGCATATCAGAGTGCTGGACTGAATATATTTACATTGTTTTTTTTTTTTTTTGACAATCAGATTTAGACAGTGGGAGAGAGAAAGAGAGAAAGGTAAAAGTCTTTGTTCCATTGGTTCCACCAAAATGGCTGCTACGGCCAGCATGCTGCGCCGATCCAAAGCCAGAAACCAAGTTCTTCCTCCTGGTCTCCCATGCGGGTGCAGGGCCCAAGCAGTTGGGCCATCCTCCACTGTCTTCTCAGGCTGCATCAGAGAGCTGGAGTGGAAGAGGAGCAACCGGGACAGAATCCAGCACCGTAACCGGGACTAGAACCCAGATTAGCCTAGTGAGCCGCGGCACTGGCCCACATTTACATTCTTAACCACACTTGTAACTGACAGTGCACCCTGGAAGACAGCAGATGATGGATCTGTTATGAAGCCCTATCAACAAGGTGGGAACACTGATGCAGTTCCATGTTCCTGAGTTCCAGCTGCCAAGCCTTGAGTGCACTGCCTTTGTTTATCATCTCCATAAAACATTGGCAAACACAACACTAGTATTCAGAGTATTGAATCTTCATGATTTGCCATTTTTGCCATTTCATTGTCATAAATGTTTGATAAATAATAATTGAATATAGACATATGAGGTACAATGATATTGTTGTAAAACGAATGTATCAAATTGAGTGGAATTATGAAGTCACTCCTATTGACATGCTCATCACAAAATCCACATGTTCCCATGGTAGAATGTCAGTTGTCTTCTGTTTTGGAATTCTGTAGACACAATATTTGCTTAACTGCTGTCACCATGCTGTACAGTAGATCCCTCAACATGTGGATCCTGTGGGACTGAAACTCTGACCTTGCTCCAATGTCTCCTCTATTCCATGCCCTTTTCTTCCATTATTGATTCCTTCTTCCATGAAAATTTCACAGGATTATATGTGTGAACACTCGCGAATGACGCTGCTTTAATTGCACATGGAACTGCAGTTGTATTTTCTATAGAGACTGTGAATCCCATGCACATCTCCCTGGGATTTCACATTCCTGCTACCCAAAATGCTGTTTGAAGATCCTGTGATAACTGTATGTCTCAGTTTTTGATGACTTTCCATAGTGGATTTACTAATTTACCTGACTCCAGCCTTGTGCAACCAGAGTGGTCATCTCTCTTCCTTCACAAGAATTGTCAGCTCTGGCTTGTCTGGTAATATTCATTCTAACATGAAGGATGGGACATCTCATTGTGCTTCTAAAATGTACATACATGATGATCTGAGATTTATGGCATTTTACATGTTTGCTTTTATGTCATTTCTTAAATTTTATAGATGTAATATACATTTAAAAATTCATAGATTTTGTTTTAAAATTTGTATGTACGTTTTTATCTAAAACCACAAAGACTGAGACTGACAGTGATCATCTAACTCCTGGTCACTTCCCAGGTGGCTACAAACGCTTCAGCTGGAACAGGTGACAGACAGGTACTTAGAATTCATTCCAGGTCTCCAACGTGGGAGTTCTTGGAACTTCACCTACGGCCTCCCAGAGTGGGCTTAGGCAGGAATCTGAAACTGGAACAAAACTAGGACACAGCACTCAGCATCCTGATGCGGGAGCAGCAATCCCATTGCTAACTCCAGTGCTGCTGCTGTCACCACCTTGGCAGGAACTGCATTTAAACAATTGATGTCTTCCCTTGGGATTCAGTTTTCTGTGTTTATTCAACATATGCATATAGGCTCCTAATGATATATAACATTAATTTTCCATTTATTTTAATATCTATTTATTTAGTTTGAAAGGCAGTGTTATAGCAAGAGAGGAAGAGACCAACAGGTGGAGAGAGAATCTTCCTTCCACAGGTTTCCTTCCTGAATGGCTGCAAAGGCTGGGGATGGCTGAGCCTGAAGCCAGGAGCCTGGAACTTCCCCGAGTTGCCCATAGGGCTGGAAGGGGACAAACACTTGGGTCATGGTAGACAGTGATCTCCATTGCACTCCCTACCTCTGTGAGTAAAAGCTTGTGGACTGCATATATAACTAATGTCAAATACTATGTGTCCACGTGTACCTGCATTATTTCTGTTAGCATATTATGCTCAAGGCTGACCCAAGATTTCCTAATGACAAAACAATCTCCTTCTTAGTACTGAATAATATTCCATGTCAAATGTAACAGACTGCATTCACCATTTTATGCACATTTGGCTTTATTGTAGACTGAACTATTGTGAACACAGCTGCATTACCTGAACCCAGGACTGTGGATGAATTGTGACACAGTGACTTCATACCCAGTGCTTGAGCTGAACTCAGCGTCATGATTACCAGACACAGGGAAGAGAGGGAACAGCAGACGGCTGCTACCAGGACACAAAGCAGCACTCAAAGCAAGGAATAATTCTGCCCCCACCACAGTGGGCTGACTCAGTTCACTACAACCCACGATATGTTCCACAAATAAACAGTACTGAGGACATCCGGTCTCCCAACACAAAGTGATGGAACGGAGGTAGAAATGTGAATGACAGTGAGTTGATCTGTTCCCATTTCTGCAATATACAGATTCCAAGAGCACACTACACCCCACTAACATGCACAGTGTTCTGTGTTAATGAACAGTTTTCAAATAAGGTAATGGATGAATAAGGAAACAATACATAGTATCCTTAAATGAATCCACTTGCAGTCTTTCATCTGTGTAAATATGGGCGGCAGGCATTAGGACAAAATTGGCAAAGTCCCCACTAGGGACACCCGTGTTCCCATCAGAGTGCTGCTTGAGCCCAGCCACACGGCTTCCCACACTTTTTCCTGATAACACATCGTGGTAAACTACAGATGACGCTATAGCGATAGAGCCCCTACAACCGACAAAGGAACCACAGACGCAGTTCTGGGCTCCAGGTTTTAGAAACGCTAACTCCTAGATGTTGTAGGCATTTGGGGAGTTTGGGGCTGTCAATCCAAAGGCAGAAATCTCCCATTTTCATCTTTGCTGTCCATCACTACACTTGTGTTTCTCTCACTCCTTCTCTCTATCACTATTCCAATGTCTTTCATATAGATGATAGAGAGGTCAATAGATGATATGAAACAATTGTTATTTAAAAATGAAGGACATGATATTGCTTACACTGGATATTAAGGGTATACACATATTAAAAGGAAACAAGGTCATTGCCTTCAACTGTTATAAAAAAGCAATAAAACATAAAAATTCATATGATCCAAATCCTATCATAGCCTACACCCCCAGGACATGTACATCTGCCCTGGGCCCTGTCCTGTCTGAGACGTCTACTCCAGGGCTGGCTATATAGGAGCAGACATGCAAATAGGGCCTCCCTCTGCCCATGAAACCAGCCCAGCCCTCACCCTGCAGCTCTGGCACAGGAGCTCCAGCCCCAGGACTCCCAGGTGTCCAGTCAGTGATTGCACTCAACACAGACGCTCACCATGGAGACTGGGCTGCGCTGGCTTCTCCTGGTCGCTGTGCTCAAAGGTAATGATGGAGAACGCGGGGCACTGAGTCTGGGAGAGGACGTGAGTGAGAGACACAGAGAGTGTGAGTGACAGTGTATTGACCAGGACATCTGTGTTTGCAGATGTCCAGTGTCAGCAGCTGAAGCAGTCCGGAGGAGGAGCCGGAGGAGGCCTGGTCAAGCCTGGGGGATCCCTGGAACTCTTCTGCAAAGCCTCTGGATTCTCCCTCAGTAGCAGCTACTGGATATGCTGGGGCCGCCAGGCTCCAGGGAAGGGGCTGGTGTGGATCGGATGCATTTATGCTTGTAGTGGTAGCACTTACTACGCGAGCTGGGTGAATGGCCGATTCACTCTCTCCAGAGACATCGACCAGAGCACAGGTTGCCTACAACTGAACAGTCTGACAGCTGCGGACACGGCCATGTATTACTGTGCGAGAGACACAGTGAGGGGCCCTAGGGCTGAACCCAGACACAAACCTCCGTGCAGGGGCGCGCGGCTCCACCAGGGGGCGCACAAGACGTACCGAGAGCACATTCTGGTCTTGAGTAGGTGCAGGAAGAGATGAAGCCCTGGTTTCCTGTCAGGAAATTGGGGTTTCCTCTCCGGTAGCCGTTTTGAGGAATTAATTCTACTCTTGTTGTTCTGACCCTGCCGATGACTTCAGTGACGGTGATAAAGTTTGATGTGAAAGGAAGGAGTCGTTAATGAACAAATTCAGTTCATAAACAAGGACAGCAGTCACCAGGATCAGAGATCCTGGGAATCTGAGGACCTTGGTGATTCTTTTCCAACTTGACTCAGGACAGCGCCCTAGGGCAGTGCCGATTTTAGGACAATTTTAGTTTTCCCTTTAGAACCAGGGACAGTAGAGCTAGGGTTTCTGTTCTGGTAAACCTCAACTACCTAAGTCATCCCTCTCCTCCCATTAAAATGAGCATGTGTACCGAACTGAACCTACATTTTTTTTTAATCTGTGGGTGATCCATATTTCTACAGATTGTGCCCACATCGCCATTTTCTTTTTATTCCTAAAACATTTAATTGTTCCTGTGTGAATGTCACAGCACTCAGGAATGTACTTGCCGCTCAGCTTTGTCTCAGGCTGAGCTTCTGCAGGCACCTGGGGCGCCTACAGGGACTTCCTCATTCTCTAGGTCCTGGGACCCTCCTGTGGGGCTCCCTGCCTGGACTCAGGAGGGAAATGCACTGGACATCAGCAGTCAAGGTCATAACTGAATGGAAAGTGTTGGGTGTGCACTTCCAGCTGATCTGGTTTTGCTCCAGTGTCGTGAGACCCCCTGCACCTGCTGTGATTCAGGTAGAGCAGAAAGTGGGACACACAGTGGCTGTGCACTCTGGAGCTGGAGTCCACATCACAGGGAGCTGTATCTGTGGCTCCAGCATGACGCCCGGTGTCCTGAGGCTGGATCACAGCTGCAGGAAGAGCCAGTCTCAGAGACCATTTGTCCAAAGTCCCTGCTCTTCTCTCCATGTCATGCTCACTGGCATCATCAATGCATTTGGAATCTTTCCTCAGTATTATATAGGGAAACACCCAAGCTGCATACAGAGTGCTAGATGGAGCCCATTTGCACACTTTCCCAGACTAGTAACTGACAGTGCACCCTGGAAGACAGTAGATGATGGATCTGTTAGGAGGCCCCATCACCAAGGTGGGAACACTGATGCAGTTCCATGCTCCTGGGTTCCAGCTGCCAAGCCTTGAGTACACTGCCTTTATTTATCATCTCCAAAAACGTTGGCTAACATGGCTAACACAACACCAGTATTCAGAGTTCTGAATCTATCTGTTTGGTAAATAATACCTGAACATAGAGATATGAGGTACCATGATATGTGCTGACAAAATGAATGTATATTGTGAGAAATAATGTTCTCAGATTTAGTGACATGTTTATCACTAAATGGACATTATTTTCATGATAGAGTGTCAGTTGTCTCCCGTTTTGGAATTCGGTAGACACAGTATTCTCTTAACTGCTGTTACCATGCTGTACAGTAGACCACACAACATGTGGATCCTGTCGGACTAAACATCTGTCCATGCTCCAGCATCATCTCTGTTTCTACCATGTTCAGACTTTGGTCTTTACCATTGTGCTTCCTGCCTCTGTGAGTTCATCCTTTTTATCCCACGTAGCTAGCATCACCTATTATTATCTTCTTGGCCTGGATGGTTAGCAGTTAGTTAGTTAGTTAGCTAGCTAGCTAGTTAGAGTGTACTTATCCTGACACATTATCCTTGGACATTATTCTCCAGGATCTTACAAGTTTCCAAGATATCAGATTTTCCTCCTGTTTACTGCCATATAAATGTCCTGTTAAAATATAACTTTGTCCACTTGTCCCTTTATCCATTCCTTCTTCACTGTAAATTTCACTGGTTTATATGTGTGAACTCTTTTTTTTTGACAGGCAGAGTGGACAGTGAGAGAGAGAGAGAGAAAGGTCTTCCTTTGCCATTGGTTCACCCTCCAATGGCCGCCGCGGCCAGCGCACTGCGGCCGGTGCACCACGCTCATCCGATGGCAGGAGCCAGGTGCTTATCCTGGTCTCCCATGGGATGCAGGGCCCAAGTACTTGGGCCATCCTCCACTGCACTCCCTGGCCATAGCAGAGGGCTTGCTTGGAAGGGGGCAACCGGGACAGAATCTGGTGTCCCGACCGGGACTAGAACCCGGTGTGCCGGCGGCACAAGGCGGAGGATTAGCCTAGTGAACCATGGCGCCGGCTATGTGTGTGAACTCTTGCAAATGATTCTGCCTTAACTGAACATGGGACTGCAGATTTCATTCCCATAGTGACTGCACATCTTGTGGACACCTCCCTGGGATTTCATATTCCTTCTACCCAGGAATGGTGTTTGAGGATCCTGTGATAATTTTATTTCCCAGCCTCTGATGTTTTCCATGAAGGCTTTACTAACTTACTTGACTCCAGCCTTGTACCAGGTTATCATCTCTCTCTTCCTGCACACGATTTGTCAGATCTGGTATGTCTGAAAATACTCAGTCTAACAGGAGGGATGGGATGTCTCATTGTTTCTCCAACATAAACATGAATGAAGATTCCATATTTAAAGCATTTTTACATGGTAGCCTTTATATATTTTCTTTAAAAAAATACAGATATACTTTTACATCTTGTCAAATTTGTATTTGGTTATTTGTCCAAAAAGACAGAGACAGAGACTGACAGACAGTGATCTACTGAATCCTGATAACTTCCCAGATGCCCATAAAAGCTGAGTTGGGTCAGACCATAGCCAGGTGCATGGAACTCAGTCCAGGTCTCACACATGGGATAAACTCAGACTTCTTGTACTGCCTCCCAGAGTGCACATTGACAGGAATCTGAAATTGGACCCAAACTAGGACACAACACTCAGCATCTTAATGCAGGAGCAGGAATCCCACATGCTAACTCCAGTGCTGATCCTGTCACCACCTTGTCAGTCACTGCATTTAAACAATTGGTTTCTTCCCTTGGGATTCAGTGGCTTGAGTTCATTCAACATTTGGAAATAGGCTCCTAACCATATGTATAATTAATCTTTCATTTATTTTAAATGTCTATTTAGTTTATTTGAAAGACTGTGTAATAGAGAGAGAGGAACACAAAAGGAGCTGAAGAGAGAATCTTCCATCACTGCTTTTTTTTCCTGAATGGCTGCAAAGGCTGGGGATGGCTGAGCCTGAAGCCAGGAGCCTGGAACTTCCTCCAGTTTCCCACAAGGCTGGAAGGCGACAAACACTTGGGTCATGGTAGACAGTGATCACCTTTGTGCTTCCTCCCTCTGTGAGTTCAAGCTTGTGGACTGCATATATAACTAATGTCACATACTATGTGTCCACATGTACCGGGATTATTTCTGTTAGCATATTATGCTCCAGGCTGACCAATGATTTTGTAATGACAGAAAAACCCCTTTCTTAATACTGAATAATATTCCATATCCAAATGTGAAAGAATCCAGTCACTGTTCTATGCACACTTGCTTTATTGTAGACTGAACTACTGGGAACGAAGCTGCAACCTGAAGCCAGCACTGCGGGTGAATTGTGACACAGTGACTTCATACCCAGTGCTTGACCTGAACTCAGAGTTATGACTACTAGACACAGGGAAGAGGGGGGAAAAGAGGACGACTGCTACCAGGACACAAGGCACCACTCAAAGGGAGGAATAATTATGTAGACACCACAGTGGGCTGACTCAGTTCACTACAACCCATGATAGGTTCCACGAATAACTAGAACTGAGACCTCCAGACCTCCCAACTCAGTGTGAAGGAAAGGAGGTGGAAATGTGAATGACATTCAGTTGATCTGTGCCCATTTCTACAACACACAGATTCCAATAGCACACTACACCCCACTACCATGTACAGTGTTCTTTGTTCAGGAACAGTTTTAAACTAAGGCAATGAATGAATAAGGGAACAAAACATAGTTAACCTTAAAAAATCCACTTGCAGTCCTTCATCTGTTTAAATATGGGTGGCAGGCATTAGGACAAAATTGGCTAAGTCCCCACTAGGGTCACCCATGTTCCCATGTGAGAACTGACTGAGCCCAGCCACACGGCTTCCCACACCTTTTTCCTGATAATGCATCATGGGAAACTGTAGATGACGCTAAGAGCAAATGAGCCCCTACCACGGACCTGGGAAACACAGACACAGTTTTGGGCTCCAGGTTTTAGAAAGGCTAAGTCCTAGATGTTGTAGGCACTTGGGATGTTTGGGGCTGTCAACACAAAGGCAGAAATTTACCATTGTCATCTTTCTGTCCATCTATACATTTCGGTTTCTCTCCCACCTTCTCTCTCTGTCACTGTTCCAATGTCATTCAAATAGTTAATAATGATCTAATGGTTATTTGAAAAATGAATGACATGATATTGCTAACAATGGATATTAAATGTACACACATATTAAAATGAAGGAAGGTAATTACCTTCCACAGTTAATGTAAAATTTCACTTGATCTGAATCCAAATATAGATATCATACTATTCTCCCAGGACACCCACTTCTGCCCTGGGCCCTGTCCTGTGTGAGGCATCTGACCCCATGACTGGTTAAATAGCAGCAGCACATGCAAATAGGGCCTCCCTCTGCCCGTGAAAACCAGCCCAGCCCTCACCCTGCAGCTCTGGCACAGGAGCTCCAGCCCCAGCACTCCCAGGTGTCCACTCAGTGAGCGCACTCAACACCGACGCTCACCATGGAGACTGGGCTGCGCTGGCTTCTCCTGGTCGCTGTGCTCAAAGGTAATAATGGGGAACACGGGGCACTGAGTCTGGGAGAGGACGTGAGTGAGAGACACAGAGAGTGTGAGTGACAGTGTCCTGACCAGGACGTCTGTGTTTGCAGGTGTCCAGTGTCAGGAGCAGCTGGTGGAGTCCCGGGGAGGCCTGGTCCAGCCTGGGGGATCCCTGAAACACTCCTGCAAAGCCTCTGAGTTCGACCTCAGTAGCTATGCAATGTGCTGGGTCCGCCAGGCTCCAGGGAAGGGGCTGGAGTGGAATGGAGAAATTAATCCTAATGGTGGTAGCACATGGTATGCGAGCAGGGTAAATGGCCGATTCACCGTCTCCAGAAACAACGTCAAGAGCACGCTGGATCTGCAAATGAGCAGTCTGACAGCCGCGGACACGTCCCTCTATTACTGTGCAAGAGACACAGTGAGGGCCCTCAGGCTGAGCCCAGACACAAACCTCCCTGCAGGGGCCGCGGCTCCACCAGGGGGCGCACAAGACGCACTGAGCAGACTCAGACCCATTCCCAGATGCAGTGGGAGGTGAATCCCTGGTCCTCCTGAGAAAATTGGGGTTTGTGGTCCTGTAACCATTTCTTATGTTCCAATTCTGCATGGATGATTGTGTCCCTAACACCGATCACCGAGCAGAAGTTTTGGTATCACGGGAAGACGTCACATGAAGAAAATGGAGTCGTTTTGGAGGAATGAATGACATCTCTGGGGTCCCCAGCATCTGAGACCTGAGGGAGCTCTGGGCACCCGGGGAGGCTTTTGCAGCCCGAGTCACGGAAGAGCTCTCCATGGAATTCTCTGATGATGTCATCTGGGACCCTGCTGAGAGCCCAGGGGCAGTGTAGAGCTGGTCAGGGGCTATGAATGCTGCAGTGTTTCACATCCATGCCCTCCCCTCCTGCACAGCTGGGCCCTGAGGGGTGAGATGACCCCGTGGTCCTGGTCCTGGGGCTCCCGTGTGCATTCTCTACAGCTGTGCCCTCGTCTCCCTTTCACTTCTTCACCCTGAACTCACAGGTTGGGGTCCACGTGGTCCAAACCCCAGGTCAGGGATTAACCTGCAGCTCAGGGGTGGCTCAGGCTGTGGCTCCGAGAAATCCTGCTTGCACTTCCTCACTCACGTCTCCTGGGATCCCGGACCTGCTCTCATTTGCAAGCAGAGGTGGACGTTGGTAGTCCACTGGGTGTGGAGAGGTCTTGTTCCCCACACTCTGCTGGCCTTGTCTCCATCTCAGGGAGACCAGCAGGTGGGACAGCCCAGTGAAGTCTGCACTAGAGTCCAGGTGGTTCTGGACTGTGTCCCTGTGAGCCCACCAATGATCCAACCCTGGAGCTGCATCCCTGCTGCATGAAGGGCCTGCCCCAGAGACTGTGTGTCCAGAGACCCCCACTCCTTCCTCCAGGGACTGCCCGCACCTGTTCTCAGCCATGCTCCTCCTTCTGTGGAAGCAAAATTGTCCTTCAACTCTCAACTTTATCATCACCAGGAATGAACAAATTTTCTGCTCTTCACCAGGATAACTGCATCAACCCCATGTGTTTACAAAATGTCTCCTGCAAAAATGCAATTGTTCGCTCGTGTAGTATTTTTACAGAAACTGAAGTAATTCTCTCAGCTGATGTAGAAATGACTAATTCTGAGTGGTTCTTTCTAAATCTGGAGACAAAGGAGAGACTCTGTTTCAGGTGGGAACAGATGAGTGGCTAGTATGTCGCTATGCACATGGTTTTTTTTCCCATGTTGGTTCCAAATGTAGTACCCCAGAGGGGAGGTGTGTGGAGCTCACAGCTGTAGAGGCTGAATTCCAGGATCAGACAGTGAGAATGTTGTGCCATCAGGCATGCTAATATTGTGAACATCATACAGTGTTCAGGCATCCTAATATTGTGAACATCATACAGTGTTCAGGCATCCTAATATTGTGAACAGGGATGGGAGGGACCCCATCCCCACACAGGACATCAGACGAGACCAGGGCTGACTCTAGCAGCACTGTGCTCTGTGCTGAAGCTGGGGACCCAGGAGATCTACTGTGATCTCCTCCAAGAGCAGATTCCCCAGAAGTGAACAAATCCCACTAGGCCTCACTCGCAGAGCTCCCCCACTTCTCCCACAGTCACCCTGGAATCACTCCAAAACACACACACCTTTGAGGACACACTCTGCCACAGGCAGAGGAGGGAGGTTTCCTTCCACACGCATTGTAGGCCTGATGACACAGAACCTGTTGTTCAGGATGAAGCCAGTTGTGTAAAACAGGTATTTTGAGACGTTAGAAGACTCAGGGCCAGTTTTAAACACAGCTCATGCAGACAGTCCTTTTGTTCCTTTGGGATACAGGCTACTGATCATACATTCTGTATGAAAATAGTTACTTCCATGTGTGTGTAGGCTGCTCACTTCTCATTGGTCCACTTGCAGTAGAGAAGCTCTGTAGTTTATGCAGCATCATCTGAAAAGGTTTTCTTACGTTGCCTGAACTCTGGAGATCTAAAATGGAAATCATGGACAGACCACTATCAGGGAGATTCTGCCCTATATTTCCTTCTAGTAGTTGTACAATGGACTTTGCATCTGATGTCAGATCCTGGTTATTCCATGCTTTCCATGTAAACATCCAGACCGTGCACCCCCTGCCAGTGCTGTTACATTGGGGCCATGCTCAGCTCTGATGCTGTGAGGACAAACCACATCCACCCTCACAGGCTGCTCCCAGCATTCTGTGTGGTCCTGTTCAGGGCACAGGAGACCTCAGCTTCCTCCATGAGGCCCTGACGTTGAATCCACTCATGGTGGGAGTCGTCACTGGATGCACTCCCAAGAGACGATGTCATTCCACGTCTCCCATGCACCTGTGCTAGTTTTACTCAGTGGTGGTCAGTGTGGGGGTTGCTGGGGGCAAGGACACCTGATCAGACCTCCTGACTCAGTGTTCTCCTGAAGGCAGTGGGGCCCCAGCTGTGTGGCCCTTCCACCTGTCCTTACCCTCCTGCAGAGGAAGAGCCCACCCCTCCACCATGTCCTCTCCCTCCTGCTGCTGGACCCTGTCCTCACTGTCACTTCCCCACGTGCCATGCTTCTCCTCCCCAGTCCTCAGCTTTGGGGGTGGACCCATCCCCTGAAGATGCAGACTTCTGTGTCTTGGGGGATCAGTGCTGGCACAGTGTCTGGGGTGGACTCTGCTCACGAACATTTTCTACAGGATTTCACCAGGACATGGGTCATGATGGTTTCCTCCTGCAGGTGAATCACTTTCCTACTCAGTGGACACAGAGGAGCAGGGTCTGGGGTATTGAGGCTGAGGATGCTGTTCCTGCAGAGCCGTGAGCAGAGCCAGCACTGCTTGGTATGCGTGTGTGGTCTCTCCAACTGAGCAGCTGAAGGCTGCATGTTAGGTGGAACTTACCCTCCATACTTGATGCACGGAGCCTCCCATCATGCATGTGGGGACCTCACCACCCAGTGATCCCATTGAGAGAGGGCTTTAGGGAGGGGAAAATACCATGAGGGTTGCTGCCTGCAATGAAGGGAATACGACTCTTAGAGAGACCCTCCCATACATTTGTGGTTCCTGGCGCTGCAGGAACAGGAATCTGGTATTGGGTGCCAGAGTCACATGTAAGACCCTTGCACTCCCTTGGGGGAGGTGCATATCTTAAACAATGCAACTTTCATTTTATTATTTACCTTATATCCATGAAATTTGATAACAGAGTTAAGATTAATGTGCTGCACATTTTCCAAAATATAATATACTTACTCTAATTTGTTTCAATTTTACTATTATCAGATTTTCAGATATTTTGGTTAAAAACTAATAAACCCTCATTCACCTGTGCCCTACAGGATCTGCAAACTCAGGGCCTTCAACTTCTGCCCCTGGAAACCTACATGATGCTCAGCGCTGACTGGATGAAATCTGTTGTGAAGGAGCCCAAAGGGGCTCAGGCCTTAATGTGACTGGAGGAGGTGGGCCAGGGCAGGGTGACACGGGCAGTGGACAGCACCGTGGAATGTGATATTTATTCTTGGTGTAGTTGTGATGAGGAGTGAGAGAGGCACAGGTGAGTCGCACTCACCACACACTTTCAACATGTGGGGCTGCCTCTGTATCTATCACAACTCGACAGCATTGGGAAGCAAATTGCCCAGCAGAGAAATTGTGAAGAACAGACAGACAGACACCAGCACGTGAAACACCACACTGATATACACCTGCATGAAACCTGGTCCCCTGTGCATCTCTCTGTCAAAAACAGAATCCAGCAAAAGTGCTCCATGTTCATGAACTAACTGTTGTGAATGAGGTCACTGTAGTTGGAGATGGGACTGCAAATGTCTAGACATGGTGCTCTCAGATCACTTGGACACATCCCTCAGACTTCATATTCCCTGTAAGCAACAGCAGGATTTGGCATTTTTTAAAAAAGATTTATTTTATTTACTTTATTTATTTAAATGACAGAGTTACAGAGAGAGGTAGAGACACACAGAGAGAGGTTTTCCATCCACTGGTTCACTCCCCAGTTGGCCACAATGGCCAAAAATGTTCCAATCCAAAGGCAAGGGCCAGGAGCTTCTTGGGGTCTCCCATGTAGATTCAGGGGCCCAAAGACTTGGGCCATCTTCTACTGCTTCCCAGGCCATAGCAGAGAGCTGGATGGGAAGAGGAGCAGCCAGGACTAGACCGGCACTCATTTGAGATGCCGGCGCTTCAGGCCAGGGCTTTCACCCAATGTGCCACACACCAGCTAAAGTATGAGACTGGTGAACTTTTGGGGTGGGAGTTCACGGACTGGCACTTTTTTGTCCATAACTGATATTTCATTGGTGTTAATATCCAGCACACAGGTGTTTTGATGTGTACTCAATTCTTAACACACACATGAAAACCTAAAAAGCCATGAATTGCTTTTTTTGAAAAAGAAAAAAGTTATTTCAATGACATTCGACTTCAAATTTGGAAGAAACACATTCATGGGCCAGTATCTTCAAAGATTGCTCTTAATAAATCTTATCCAGTCACAATTTAACATAGTATACATGAAAAACTCACTATTTCAACCTTTCATAGTACATTAACAAAATCATTAGGAAAACTGGACAACCACAACTGATGATGGCTGATAGGTGGAGTGGAAAGTCCTGTGTGAGGAACAGAGGTGTAGAGTGTGGAGGTGCCTCCTACCAGACTAGAGACCCTGGACTCAGCACAGCCTGTCTGTGATTCCTTCAGTAACTGTGCACGTGTTCAAGGGAGGTATCCCTCATGCCAGTATCACATTTCTGTGCTTGTGCAGACACAACACAGGGGCAGGCACTGTTGTGCAGTGAGCTGAGCCCTTGTTGGGAGCCCACACCCTGTGTTGGAGTGATGGCTCAAGAACCAGCCTCTCCACCTCAGGCCCTCGTGTCCTGCGGTTGAAAAACGTAAACGATGGGGCTGGTGCTGGGACATAGTATGTTGCAGACCAAATCTGCAGTACTGGCGTCCCACATGTGCACCGGTTCAAGTCCCAGCTGCTCTACTTCCAATCCAGCTCACTGCTACAGCCAGGGAAAGCAGTAGAAGACAGCCCAAGTCCTTGGTTCCTTGTACCTGCATGGGGATCTGGAAGAAGATCCTGGCTCCTGGCTTCCAAGCCGCTAAGCTCTAGCTGTTGCGACTAATTGGAAGGTGAACCAGAGGATAGACAATTGCGCGCTCTCTCTCTCGCTCTCTCTTTCTCTCTGCCTCTAGTTCTCTCTGTGTGTGTAACTTTGACTTTCAAATAAATGTTCAAAATATAAATTAAGGGCCCGAGCCAGGGCTCACTTGGCTAATCCTCTGCCTTAAGTGCCGGCATTCCATACGGGTGCTAAGTTCTAGTCCCAGTTGCTCCTCTTCCAGTCCAGCTCTCTGCTATGGCCCAGGAGGGCAGTGAGGGATGGCCCAAGTGCTTAGGCCCCTGCACCCGCATGGGAGACCAGGAAGAAGCACTTGGCTCCTCGCTTTGGATCAGAACAGCTCTGGCTGTAGCTGCCATTTGGGGAGGGAACCAATGGAAGGAAGACCTTTCTCTCTGTGTCTCTCTCACTGTCTATAACTCTATATAACTGCCATATATATATATATATATAAATTTTTAAAAAGGTGAATGAAATGCTTTTCTGCCCATGATCTTCACATCCCATGGAATTAATCAGCTACTTAAGATGCCAGACACCCACGTCTGCCCTGGGCCCAGTCCTGTCTGAGGCGTCTGACCCCATGCCTGCTATATAGCAGCAGCACATGCAGACAGGGCCTCCCTCTGCCCATGAAAACCTGCCCAGCCCTCACCCTGCAGCTCTGGCACAGGAGCTCCAGCCCCAGGACTCCCAGGTGTCCACTCAGTGAGCGCACTCAACACAGACGCTCACCATGGAGACTGGGCTGCGCTGGCTTCTCCTGGTCGCTGTGCTCAAAGGTAATGATGGAGAATGCGGGGTACTGAGTCTGGGAGAGGACGTGAGTGAGAGACACAGAGAGGGTGAGTGACAGTGTGCTGACCAGGACATCTGTGTTTGCAGGTGTCCAGTGTCAGGAGCAGCTGGAGGAGTCCGGGGGAGGCCTGGTCCAGGCTGGGAGATCCCTGAAACTCTCCTGCAAAGCCTCTGGGTTAGACTTCAGTAGCTACAGCATGAGCTGGGTCCACCAGGCTGCAGGAAAGGTCCCGGAGTGGATCGCATATATTTATCCTGGTAGTGGTAGCAGGGCCGATTCACAATCTCCAGCGACAACGCCCAGACACACGGTGTCTCAGCAAATGAACCATTTACAGAGGATGACACGGCCACCTATTACTGTGTGGGAGACACAGTGAGGGGCTCTCAGGTTGAGCCCAGACACAAACCTCCTTGAGGGGCACACTGCTCCACCAGGGGGCGCACAAGACGCACTGAGCACAGATTCTGGTCATGAGCAGGTGCAGAGAAACCAAGCCCTGGTTTCCTGTCAGGGAATTGGGGTTTCCGCTCTTGTAACAGTTTTGAGAGAAGAAGTCTACTTTTATGACTCTGTCCCTGCCACTGACTTCACTGACCTGGAGATGTCTGATATGACAGGAAGAAGTCCTATATGAACAGTTTCAGGTTCGTGAACGATGACAGTGGTCACCAGGATCAGACATGTGGGACTATCTGAGGACATTGTGAGTGTTGTCCAGTCTGACACAGGATGCGTTCTCAAGGCCCAGCCGGCTTTAGGGCAATTTTAGTTTTCCCTTCAAACCCAGAGAGAGTCAAGCCAGAGACTTGTTTTTTTTAACTTCAATTATTTCAGTCATCCCTCTTCCTATCAAAATGAGCATGTAAGCAAATAGCACCAGCAGTCTTATTTTAAGCTGTTGTTGTTCCACATTCACTTTCTAAAGACTTACGCCCAAACTCCTTTTTACCTTTAATCCTAAAACCATTTGTGGTCCCTAAGGTGAACGTCACAGCACTCAGGAATGTACTTGCAGCTCAGCTGTGTCTCAGGCTGAGCTTCTGCAGGCACCTGGGAAGCCTACAGGGACTTCCTCATCCTCTAGGTCCTGGGACACTCCTGGGGGGCTCCCTGCCAGAACTCAAGAGGAAAATGCAGTCAAGGTCATCACTGAATGGAAAGCATTGGGTGTGCACTTCCAGCTGATCTGGTTCTACTCCAGTGTCGTGAGAACCCCTGCACCTGCTGTGGTTCAGGGAGAGCAGAAAGTGGGACACACAGCGGCTGTGCACTCTGGGGCTGAAGTCCACATCACAGGGAGCTGTGTCTGTGACTCCAGCATGATGACCAGTGTCCTGAGGCTGAATCACAGCTGCAGGAAGAGTCAGTACCAGAGACCATGTGTCCATAGTCTCTGCTCTTCACTCCATGTCTATGCTGACTGGGGTCATCAATCCATTTGGAGTCTTTCATTAATATTACAGAGGGAGACACCCAGGCTGCATATCAGAGTGCTGGATGGAGCCCATTTACACACTTTCCCAGGCTAGTAACTGACAGTGCACCCTGGAAGACAGTAGATGATGGATCTGTTATGAGGCCCCATCACCAAGGTGGGAACACTGATGCAGTTCCATGCTCCTGGGTTCCAGCTGCCAAGCCTTGAGTGCACTGCCTTTATTTATCATCTACATAAACATTGACAAACACAACACCAATATTCAGAGTGTTGAATCTTCATTTGTGATCATTTTTGATCATAAATGTTTGATAAATAACACCTGAACACAGACTTATGAGGTACAATAATATGTGTTGAAAAATGAATGTGTCAAATTGAGTAGAGTTATGAAGTCAGACTTATTGACATGCTCATCAGAAAACCACATGTTTCCATGGTAGAATGTCAGTTGTCTCCTGTTTTGGAATTCTGTAGACACAATATTCCCTTCACTGCTGTGACCATGCTGTACAGTAGATCCTCAGTGTGTGGATCCTGTGGGACTGAAACTCTGACCCTACTACAGCATCTCCTCTGCTCCTCCCTTGCTCAGACGTTGGTCTTCACCATCATACTTCCTGCCTCTGTGACTTCATCCTTTTATCCCATGTATCCAGCATCACGTATTATTTGTCTTCTTGTCCTGCATGGTTAGCAGAGTGTACTTACCCTGACACATTATCCTTGGACATTATTCTCCAGGATCATCTGAGTTGTCCAAAATACAGAATTTCCTCATCTGTACTGCCATATAAACTTCCTGTTAAATATAATTTTGTCCATTTGTTCCATTGTTGATTCTTTCTTCATGAATATTTCACTGGATTGTATGTGTGAACTCTTGTGAATGATGCTGCATTAGTTGAATATGGAAGAGCAGAGGTGTTTGCCACATTGATTGTGGTTCCCCTGGACACCTCCCTGGGATTTCATATTCCTTCTACCCAGAAATGGTGTTTGAAGATCTTGTGATAATTCTGTTTCTCAGTTTTGATGATTTTTCATAATAGA